AAATGCATGTTGACATATTTCTGAATTGGGCAAAAGGAAATACTGCACAAAGTTATTCAATGAACATAAGCAACAGAAGACCATGAGCAAGGAAAGTCACACATGGAAGAAAGGCACAGAGTGCCTTGGTGAAAATGTAGCCAAGAGAACTCTACATCCTACGATTACACATTTATGTATGCTGAAGTCACCCGTGCTCCTCTAATGTTAGAAGAGAAAATGGCATAGCAATGTAAAAAATTACCCAGATTTTATTGCTTTCTGTATCATAATTTAGTGATGATGTGATTGCAGTTTGAATTAAGCACATCACAACCAGGTTAAAATAAGAGTGTTTAATTTTATCTACTGCTACTCATTGAATTTTAATCAAAAGTTGGATGACGCAACCCAATCCATCTTATACAATACGGGTGTGACGTATTTACAGGAAACTATGATTCATAAAATGTTTCTGCAGTTACTCTCTGATACTTTCTGATGGAAAGGAGATTAAGATCCAAATTAGAGTGCTACACATCAAAATTTCAGATGTTGATCCTGCTCACACCCAGCTGCAGTAACTGAGATCCCTGAGAGTTACACAGGAACGTGTCAGCGGTCAGCACGGCTCACCGTGCTGACTCCATTTTATCTTCCCCCATTTTTGTGTTCAGTTTCTGTCTGGCTTCTCTGCTTGGCTTTGGTGAAGCCAAGAATCTCTATGTGGTGAATTCACCATCTCCAGACAAGAGCATCTCCCCAAAACCTGATGCTTCTGTTTCCCTCACAGACTCTGGATGTCACACTAGAGTAGACAATATTCATCTGTCTCCTTCTGTTATCAGCATGATGGATGACCAGTAGGTGAAATGTATAAAAACAGAATCAAGCTATGTTATATACATGTACCTCCTCCCAAAGTTGAGTCTAAACTACACGGAGAGTATAAACTGCCTACCCGGATTGAGAAATTTGTAGCAGAATAATAAAATACATCTCTGATTTGATTTATGAAGATTGTCCTGAGAAGATTCACGTAAAGATGAGGGAATGGAGAAGTAGACAAGGCAAGATCCAACCTGACTATGGTAAGCTCCCTAACAATAGTATTGCAATCCAGATATTGTTAAAAGGGAAGACACGGAAGACAGTGACTTGCATTTGCAAAGCTTCATGCTGCTCTTTTGATTGCCTCCTTTGCTACAATGATCCTCTGTGATCAGCAAACTATAGTTGCTTCAGCCTTTCCACCTGGATCACACCAGTCCCTCTCTATGGAACTCCAGGCCTTCAGCTGTGAACTGGGGCTGAATCTTTGATCATTGTTCTTCTCTGGCTTCCAGCTTCTTGGACACAGCACCTCTGGATCCTCAGGTTCTACATTATGGATACATCCATTGTGAATTATCCTATTTCTGACACTAACAGCTTAATAAATCCCCTCTCATAATCATATAATAAAATACAAAAGAACAGCATTGTATAGATAATATGCATAGTATGCTATTCATATATTTTTCCTCTTGAAAACCCTGAACAATACAGAATTTGGCTTAGAGAGTGATTCTACCAGAATTTCTGTTCGTCCTCCTTCCTTCCTCCCAGAAGGACTTATGACCTTTCTCCAAAGTATGGATAAGCAGGGACAGAATATGATGAGAGGTTTTGCAGAATAATGAACACTTATTATAAACTAACACTGATTTTAGGAAAATTAAAACATTCTTGTGCCCCCCACAATAGAGAAAGACTCTTGGGAGGTTGGTAAAGCATCGGGTTTCAGATCATGCTTGATTTACAGTGGAAATAATGTCTCCAACTGGTACTGT